TGCTGAACAAGGCATTAGGACCAGTGCTGTCAGATCTTGACCATGAATGGGTACTTGGATGAATCACACTTTTTGATGGTGGAGGAGGGTTTCACCACCAGAGACCTCCTTGAGAACCTGCTGCTGGATTACTCCCAAGCAGTAAGTGCACTGAGACACCAGGGCCAGTGGAGAGGAAGGACGGTATTATAGAAGCTAGCAGCAAGGGAAATGTTTGTCTGTCACCCTCTTCTGAACGATTAGCATTTCAGATGCTCTGTTGCCATTTCTTAGCCTTTCCCAACTCCTACACCTTCTGGACCAAGTTGGTACACAGAACTGCATGTGGAGGTGCAATCGGGCATACCCAGGCTTAGTGTCTGACCGAATCACATGCATATACGGACCCAGCAAATTCACAGATGACACCAAGCTGGGTGGTGTAGTAGATGCAGTGGAGGGTAGAGCTAGGATTCAGAGTGACCTGGACAAACTGGAGGATTGGACCACAAGACATCTCATGATGTGCAAAGTCCTGCACGTAGGACGGAAGAATCCCACACACCCGTACAGGCTGGGGGCTGACTGGCTAAGCAGCAGCTCTACAGAAAAGGACCTGGGGATGACAGTGGACAATAAGATGGATATGAGCCAGCAGTGTGGCCTTATTGCCAAGAAGGCTAAAGGTGTACTGGGCTGCATTGGTAGGAGTGTTGCCAGCAGAAGTTCCACTCTATTCTGCACTGGTGAGACTACATCTGGAGTCCTGTGTCCAGTTTAGGGCTCCCCCACTGTAGAAAGGATGTGGAAAAGTTGGAGAGAGTGCAGCCGAGAGCAACGAAAATTGGGCGCACGACTTCTGAGCTGATGCTGAGGGAACTGGGTTTATTTAATTTGGAGAAGAGAAGACTGAGAGGGGATCTGATAGCAGCCTTTAACTCCCTGATGGGTGGTTCCAAAGAGGATGGAGCTGGACTGTTCTCAGTGGTGACAGATGATGGAACAAGGAGCAATGGGCTCAAGTTGTAGCAACGGCGGTTTAGGTTAGATATTAAGAAAAACTTTTGCATGAGGGTGGGTAGTGAAACACTGGAACAAGTCACCTAGAGAGGTGGTGGAATCTCCATCCTTGGAGGTTTATAGATTCATAGATGCTAGGGTCGGAAGGGACCTCAACAGATCATCGAGTCTGACCTCCTGCCCCGGGCAGGAAAGAGCGCTGGGATCAGATGACCCCAACCAGATGCCTATCCAGCCTTCTCTTAAAGACCCCTGAGATAGGGGAGAGCACCACCTCCCTTGGAAGCCCATTCCAAATTTTGGCCACCCTTACCGTGAAGAAGTTTTTCCTGATATCTAGCCTAAATCTGCTAAATTTGTGACCATTGTTCCTTGTTACCCCAAGAGGCGCCCTGGTGAACAGAGCATCTCCGATTCCACTAATGGAATTGTAGGCAGCCACAAGATCACCTCTCAGCCTTCCCTTGCAGAGGCTGAAGAGGTCCAGGTCCCTCAGTCTCTCCTTATAGGGCTTGTCCTGTAAGCCCCTGACCATACGAGTGGCCCTCCTCTGGACCTTCTCAAGTCTATCAACATTGTTCTTGAAGTTCGGCGCCCAAAACTGGATGCAGTACTCCAACTGCGGTCTAACAAATGCCTCATAGGGGGGAAATATCACCTCCTTAGTTCTATTTGTCATGCATCTGCTGATGCATGATAAAGTGTGGTTGGCTTTGCTGATGAGCTGTCAGCATGACAAAATCATGTTCATCTTGGAGTCCACTATGACTCCGAGATCCCTTTCTGCTTCTGTGCTGCCGAGAGGGTCACTTCTCAGCCAAAGGGAGCCAGTTTTTAAGGCCTGGCTTGACAAAGCCCTGGCTGGAATGACCTAGTTGAGGATGGTCCTGCTTTGAGCAGGGGGTTGGACTCCTGAGGTCCCTTCCAACCCTCATTTTCTATGATTCTATGTACTAAGTCCTAATTCGTGCATGCACATCCTGCCTTTCTGCACAGCAGTTAGGTGTGTGCGAGCATGTGCAGCATAGGGCTGGGCTGTCTATGGAAATCTGAACAATAAGGAAGGAGGTGGTTGGTGGAGCCTTCTCTATCTTGAGGAGAGGAAAGTCTCTTTATAAAACCACTCAGGTGCCCTGAAGCCTCCTGATGCTGCTCTGGGAGGTAGCTATAATCCTTCACCCTGAGAGAGGGATGTCAAAGGCCTGAGCGTGACAGAAAAGCTGGCCTTTGGGCTGGGAAGCCTGAGAAGCCTGCCCCTTAGCTGAGGCTGCAACTTCTGAGGCAGCTTTCTCTGCCTGCCAGCTTGGCTCCCATGTTCTGGGTGAAGGGCAGACTTTTGCTGACAGGCTGAGATAACAAAAGATGAGACCAGCTGTTTAAATTCTCTTCCATTACTGGCTCCTGTTCCCATCCATTTGGTAGGGCCACAGCCTTACTCCAATCCTAGCTCACGCTCTGTTGTTCCTGTTGCTAAATGCTGTCTGTTTTTCTTGTCTAAAAATGGATTTGCTTATTGCCTAGGGTGGGCTCCAGCCTCGCCCATTTTCTTCCCACTGGCTGTAGCCTCAGAGCTGATCAGTGGCTCTGCATAGACAGGCTTGAATTCCCAAGAAAGCGAGGCCTGGCTTTGTGCTCTCATCAATCAATCTAAAGTCAGCAGCACTCAGCCTACATCTTTTCATATCATGTCACCTGCTCACATTGCTGCATCCACAGCCCTGAGGCTGTTCACCCCACAGTGTTTGGTGGGGCATGCCCAGCTAGCCAGGAATTGCCCATTTGGTTAAAAGGAGCCCCCTTACTGAAATCTGCAGCAAACAGGATTCTGAGAAAGCCCACAAATCTGATGCACCTTGGTAATGGGATGTGTAGGGCCAGGTCCACACCTCTCTTAGACTGGTGCAAACTAAAAGTAACTCTGCCAGCATCTGGTGACCCTAACATCCCATGGGGGTGATTGAGTGTTTGGTCTCTTTGCAATAGCTTTTTCTTGGGGGTGCAATGTGGGAAGCATGGGAGGGAAGGAATCATGATGGGAGCCCGGCTGCTAACTCCATTGTCTTCTTTCTAGAGTGACAGAGAGGCCTTCTTTGTGGCGGACCTGGGGGACGTAGTGAAGAACCACCTGCACTTCCTGGAGGCCTTGCCCCATGTCAAACCATTTTACACTGTTAAGTGCAACAGCAGCAAGGGACTTGTGCGGCTGCTGGCTGAATTAGGGGCAGGATTTGACTGTGCTAGCAAGGTAGGGGTCAGGGCAGGTGGGGGGGGTGCAAACATCCTGAGGGTTTTGTATTTCTAGCTGCATGCTGTGAGGAGGGTGAGGACGTTAACTACTGCACATGTTTATCATTTGTGCTGGAGTGATTCACAGGTATATTGCAAACTGCAGTCTCCTATGTTTCCTTTGGCACCACTTAAACTGCATTTATGGTGAAGACAGTCTCCCCCTTCTGGCAAAATACTAAGAGCACAGCATGGAAAATCTTCCTGTAGCCATCTTGCAAGCTAGATGCAAGCTCAGGTGACTGTTCCCTTTCATCTAAATTTCCTAGTATTGAATTCTTCTCCTGGATAACAGAATTCACCAGTAGTGAGGCATGCCTTGAATATGCTGTTTCTGTGATACAGACTTCCTCAGTCTACTCTTAAGCTGTTACAGGGCTGACTTAAAAGCTCTCAGCCCCCTCTGGCTTGTCACTTGGTCATAGGCTGATTGCCAGGGTGGATCAAAGATGCATGATTTGTTCCTTTTACAAGTAAACCGAACAGGTTGCTAAGGCGACGAGTTTTTATATATCTGAAGGACAAAGCCCAAAGGAAAACTACAGAGGCAGACGGAGCGTGACTGCTAAAGGAGTCAAAGTCTGCCTTAACTCTCCTTATAACTAGCAAGGGACGTATGCACATTCCTCCCTGTTTACACCGTGTAAAGCCTATGTCATGGGAATCCAGTTCACCCAGCTTGCCTCCTCCTCTCTTGGTCCTGTTTTGAAGTCCATCGTGACCCTTCTATCTGGTGGCAAACACACTTCCCCTCCATTCCTTGTCTTGTTCCCAGCAGGCCTGTATCACAGCGGGTTGCCCTTGATGACTTCATAAAATGCTCTAGAACGTCTGGCCCAGGCATGGAGCTCTGTTTTCTATAACGACCTGTATCCACAGCACTAAGTTTTCCAGGGGCTGCTCTGCTCATCATGTTAATGCTCTCTCTGCCTCTCTGCAGGCAGAGATTGCACTGATTCAAAGCATCGGGGTTCCACCAGACAAGATTATCTACACCAGCCCCTGCAAACAGATCTCACAGGTCAAATATGCTGCCAGCCATGGGGTGCAGCTTATGACCTTTGACAATGAAGTGGAGCTTGGGAAGGTGGCAAAAAGTCACCCACATGCCAGGTACATATATAAATGCTAACGATGGAAGGAGGAAGGTGTTGAGGTCAGAAGTGGAGGCTAAGAGCAGTGATAGACTATGGGTCTGTCACTATTTCTGATCTAGTGGGTGAACATGACTCTTCTGGACAGAGACGTAGTGTGTTCATATTACATGCATTTGAGTTTGCTGCAGTAGAGAGCCAGAGAGATTGCATATGCTTATATGCATAGGGACAGCAAGTTGAATAGCTGGAACTCCAGCCTAGTGTGACTTCCTTCCACAGGATGGTTTTGCGCATTGCCACTGATGACTCCCGGTCCTCAGCTCGCCTGAGTGTGAAATTTGGTGCCACCCTTAACTCCTGCAGACACCTGCTAGAGACAGCAAAAGAGATGAATGTGGAGATTGTTGGCGTCAGGTAACGGTGTCCTCTTGTCATGGCCCCTCATTCTGTCTAAATGGAGAGGCAGGGATCTGGAATTCAGCCCAGGCACTAACTGTTTGCACTGATTGTCATAGAGCTGGGAGGGCCTGTCTGATCCCCAAAGCAGGGCAGTTCATTCATATGAAATTGGACCCTGCAAAGACTGCACCCGTGTTTTTGCTCATCAGTTGCCCATGATCAGGCAGGAAAGCCTGCACATCTACTAATTATGACATTACACTCCCAGATTTTTTCAGCCAAGATCTCCTCTTTAGAGATTGTTTGCAAATTGCATGCACCAGAAGTCCATGCTGTTGTTTAGTTCCTTAAGGCACATGCTGCTGTTCCCATTCCTTGATCGGATGACATAAAGAATTAACCAACAGCCATGCAGATGTCACATTATATACTTGGGCATTAAACCAAGGGGACTTGATTTAACAGTTAAAATAGAGCAGGCTCAGGCTCACTATTAATAAAACAAGAGGGTCATGTATGTATTTTTATTTTGCAATGGATTTAACTAACCTATGCCTTTACTTGCTATGCACTGCTCCTTCAAAACTGGTTTTCAAAGGAGTTTAGGGAAGTTAGATGACTGTGACCAAAAGTCATTGCAGACAGAGTGCCTGGCCCCTCCTGAAATTCTCAGTCTGCATATCTAAGGCTCTTTGCTGGATACATCCTTGGAGGCATTATACCCACAGCCCTTTCTACTGACAGTTTACTAGAGAGGATAGTTGTGACTGCGGCTCATGCAGATACACCTGCGTTAGTTGCTCAGCTTGTGTGCCAGTCTCAGGAGTTCAGTACTGGTCTGCCATCAGCTCCTTGGGTGAGTTTTCTAGGTGCACTCAGCTCCATGCTGCCACCACTGCACTATGATAGGCACCCATGCTAGTTGCTTTGAAGTTCGCTCGGGTTGGTCTGTTTGAGCTGCAGACACACCATGGACTTGAGAGTCTTACAGCTCATGGCAAGTGGAAGGAGCATAAAGCCTAGTGGAAGGACCAGTCGTGATGAACTTTTACACAATTTTTCCTAGTCTGATGCCAGTGCTCCAGGCTGAGGGGAGGCTGGGAGAGGGGGCCTCAGCCTCAGCTAACTTAGGGAATCTTCCTCTTCAGTTTTCACGTCGGCAGTGGCTTTGTTGACCCACAGATCTTCGCTCAGTCCATAGCAAATGCTCGGCTGGTGTTTGAAATGGGCATGGAGCTGGGCTACAAGATGCACCTTTTGGACATTGGAGGGGGATTCCTGGGCACTGAAGATACTAAAGAGGTAAAAAGATTTTGGGGTCTGAACTGTTTGGACAGAGGTAGCGGGTGGAAGGGAGGTACCTAGCTGGTATCTCAGCTGGACTTGTGTTCCTAGCCCCTGTTTTGAAGGGGGAACTAGTTAACAAGGGTTGGAACAAGTATGGTTTTATTTTTTCCTCCCGCTTCATCCAATCAGACTGCAGCCGTGATAAACTCAGCCCTGGACTTGTATTTCCCGGAAGGCTGTGGGGTGGAGATCATCGCAGAACCTGGACGATACTACGTGGCTTCGGCTTTCACCTTGGTTGTCAGTGTCATTGCCAAGTGGGAGGTTCCCTTGGATCAGCCTGGCTCAGATGGTACGTTGAGCTGGGGTGGGGGCTGAGGTCTCTCAGGGCTCAGCAAAGAGGAGGGAGATGCTATTGGAACTTCAGGTCAGAAGAAGCCCCTTGCAAGCAGGTTGGTTAAAGCTGAGCATATACAGCTGCTAGAGAGTTCAGATCCTGTTAGTCTATGGGATGTTGGTCTAGTTGATTCAGCCTCCCAGTGTCATCATCCTGGTGCCCCTTTAACCCACATGCAGGCCACCTGTCCTCCCACTCACAAGTACAGCCTGAGAAAGTCTGTTCAGAGGAGGCAGCCCAAAGTATTGAGCTTGCCTCGTGAATCGGCCCCTCCCTGAACCCAGCTTCCCTGCTTTCTCCTAGAGGAAGAGCCCAGTAGCAAGAAGAGCATCAGGTACCACATCAACGACAGTGTCTACCGATCCTTTGGCTGCATCCTTTTTGACAACGCCTGCCCCACCCCCATCCTGCATAAGGTAAGGAGGGCTTTGTAGCTCTTGCTTACCATCTGGGAGGGAGCCAAGGGCTTACCCCTGCCACTTCCATTTTATTTTGGAGGAAGGGCACACGCCAGACCAGGAATAACTTAATACTTGAGGGTGGGTCCACTGCACTTGGAGGATTTTTGCCAGCTGCATCCTGTGCCTTTTAACCCAACATGCTCTGTCCCCATGTTTGCTCCTGGGCTGTAGCATAAAGCTCCTCTGTGCCCTTCCATTACTTGGAGGAAGATTTCAGGGCACTTCTTTCCTGCACCTTAATTGTCTGAGAATTGGCTGAAACTCTCTGCAGTCTTTCCTCACTGGAGAATGTAACACTGAGGGAAACGCTCCTTGCCTGTCTGATTCTAGCCTCCCATTGCTCCACCTATACCAGCCATCACTTGAGTTTTCCTGTCCGTGGTGTAGGCAAAGTGAAATGTGTTCCATTCATCCCTGGGGTGACTCCACTGAAATGGATGACTGCTGCTTGGGAAGGGCACGAGTCTAGTCTTAGGAGCCTTTACTCAGACACCCTCTTCGGAGCCAGCACATGCCAGAGGTCACAGCATTGATTCTGGGCACTGGCTGCACCAGTGCTGGAGACTTTGGGGGAGCTGGCTCTTGTGACCTCCAGCCCCAGCTGTGCACTGGGGTCATTAGTCCCTGCTCTGCACTTGACACTGGTTCTGAAGCATTAAGAAGTTTCCTTTTCATTTTCAAGTTGCCTGAGTGTGCTTCCCCAAGGCAGGCAAGTCTTGTAGTAGACAAGGTTGTAAAGCTTCAAGACAGGCTACAGGGATTGCAAAATGTTTCTGTCTCAGCTGTCAAGAATCTGCCCTCTGGTGTCTATCCACTCAAACAGCAAGGAGCATCGAGGAAAGGGTAAAAGGGACAGGCACTTCAGCCAGAAGGACGTGTTGGAAAGATGCTCACTCCTGAGGTGCTAACAACCAAGAAGATTAAATGGGAATAACATTTTCCTCTTGCCTTTATCTTGCTTGGATAATCCAGACTGGCAATGGGTGCACAGTGCTGCAATGTTTGGGTATAGTCAGAGCCAAACAGACCTGTTTTCTTTTCTGCACTAAAATATGAGGCTGTTTCTACCCATTTTTTCCAAGCTCTGTTTTGGGCCTGCACTATACCACGACTGGATGCTGGTGTGATAAACTCCAGTTTCTTCATCACTCTGAGGGGAATGCCAATGACAGCAAATAATCTCTCTAGTGACCAATTACCAGGAGTTGATCACTGGATGGGGGCACTGGTGGGGAATTGGTATGAATTAGCCAGAGTTTGGTGGCAGTAAAGATGCTCCAGATGTAGGGGCAGGCCCCCAACTGGTATAAGTCAGCACAACTCCACTGCTATCATTGGATCAGCTGTGGGCCCATCTCTTTAATATCTGTTGGGTGATGTCCATCTCTGTTCTCTTCTGAATGCAGAAACCCTGCCTAGACCAGCCCTCCTACAACAGCAGCCTCTGGGGTTCCAGCTGTGATGGGCAGGACTGCATTGCAGAGGGCTTGGAGCTCCCAGAGCTACAGGTCCATGACTGGCTGATCTTTGAGAACATGGGCGCCTACACCATAGCTGCCTCATCCTCCTTCAATGGGTTCCAGCCACCGCAAATCAACTATGCCATGTCCCGCGTGGCCTGGTAAGGGATAATCTTGTAATAATAGGGAGAGGAGAGGACCAGAGCTGAGAACAGATTTCTCTTGTGAAAGACGGAGTGTGGCACGAGGTTGAGGTCGGTTTAGGTACTGAAGCATGAGGGTAACCTGGAATCATTGTCACCTAAAAAGTTAGGGTACCTCCCAGAGCAACACTCCTCAGTGAGCTATGCCCACATGCTCCTGCTTACCTACACTGAGTATCTCAAACATAAGCCAGCTTTTCTGTGACGTTCACAACCTGATGAGGCTGCCTGTCAGTAGGCCTCGCACAGTGTGGTACAAGTGGGGAGATGTGCGTGAGAAAAGGGTTCCCTATTCTGGAAGTGTTCCCTGTTCTGGAAGTGTTCCCTGTTCTGTTCAGTGTACCACACTGTGCGAAAGAGGAGCCTCGCACAGTGTGGTACAAGTGGGGAGATGTGTGTGAGAGAAGGGTTCCCTGTTTTGGAAGTGTTCCCTGTTCTGTTCAGTGTACCACACTGTGCGAAAGAGGAGCCTCGCACAGTGTGGTACAAGTGGGGAGATGTGCGTGAGAGAAGGGTTCCCTGTTCTGTGGCGGGGGTGTGGATATTTAAAATAGGGGCTAAAGGAAGAATGCACCTCTCTTTCTCTTGTTCCCAGGGAAGCCATCCAGCTGCTTCAGAGGAAGCTGCTGCAACCAGAAGAGACTAGGGAGAGCAGGTGCGCTCCTCTGTCCTGCGGTTGGGAGTTGCCAGGCCCGCTGTGCGCAAACCCTTTCTTCACTCCAGCCAGCATCATCTGAGCAGCACCAGTAATACCAGGGGCAGATCTTTAACCAGCAGGACTCGTGCCACACCCTGCTCACACCTACAGTCAACTTGCCTCTCCCACTTCTGCTCTTCAGTAGGACCCATTTTCAATTCAGTGTGGTTTTTTAAGTATGCAACATAAATCCTGTTCCTCCTGCCTGCCTGGCGTTGCGTGCTGTGTGCTATCATGGAGGGTCTCCTGTTTGCTGTGTGGGCATTGGGGGCTGACTGCTAGGATCATGTGAAAATAAGTTAAGCTGAATTGTTTTTTATAAAGAAACACATGGATTTTCCCTCCCCTTCCTGCAAAGGGGAGTTCAGCAGAACACAGCTGAAGATTGATAGGACCACAGAGAAAACAGGCAAGTGTAAATTATATCCCAAGCAAATTGCAGTGCTGTTCCTCCATTCCAGAACCTGAGGCAAGAGGTCAGACATTTGCACACTGCTCAGTCACCATCTGCTGGTAAATCACAGGACTGCTGGGCTACAGATCTGCAATTCTGCTATATTTGCTTGTCACGTATCTGTGCTTGTAAACCCTTCACAAGGAAATGTTTTAAGAACATCATGGAGAGAGCCAGCAGCATGTGAGCTGCAGAGTGTGCTCTCAGACACAGCAAGCAGAATGAGCTCTTTTTTAGGTAATACCTAAAATTGAAGATTAAAAATGAATCCATCCTGGCTCGCAAACAATGTGTGTGATCCACTTAGAGACAGCTTTTTGCAAGACCCTGCCCCCCATTTAGGTGCCTGATGGTTTCCCATTGGGTACTTGCCATTCTGAAAATCTGGTGGGCAGCATGTTGAAGCTCTGTGGTAATGCCCGTAATCCCAGCCTGTGAAGCCTTCTGGCTGTTTCATAGACATGTAGGACTATCCCAGCACAGTTATTGTTACTGACAAATATGTGGCCCTTGGAAGCTTCATTGCAGCACTCACCAAAGAAATTGTGCCCTCCTATTTCAAGATGCAAGTCTTTACCATGTGGTCTAAGGAAAACTCTCCATTTGTCCCTAGCAGTGTTGGATAAAGATGGGGTTGAGCAGTTCAAAATCTCTCCAGCAGAGAGTGGTGGTGGGACATGTATATTAATCCCTTTGTTACAACACTGGCTATCAGGGCCTTCAGAGCTAGAGACATATGGCACTGAATGGAGGGTAATCATTAAAAGAAATAGGGTAAGCGTCTCAGCTGTATGTTCTGGGTGTCCAGCTGTACCAAACTGAGACTGGCTCCCTCCAGTGACCCCAGATTTACTCCACTAAATCTCCTTAATCTCAGTCAGTTGTTAAGGGTGCTGTTAGCATGCAGAACCCAATTGTACACCAGCTGGAATCCAGATGTGCAGGGGAATTCAATTCCCCACCCAAACAAGTTTTAGCGTTAATGTAAGGGCCGATGGAGGTGAGTACAACTACAGTAATAGTTGCTGCTTTGAAATGCTGACAAGACAGACAAGGGCTGGAGGGGAAGTGGCTGTAACACTTGGGTAGCGTGGCAATAAATGACAGCAAAGTGGGGTGTATAGAGTGGACAGTCGGGTGATAGCACAAGAGAGACGGGACAGGGAAGGAAGAGGGACCATGCAGGGTAGGTGGAAGGGGCTGGAGGACACAGCCAAGCAGCACAGTGGAGAAAACTGACTCAAAACTGCCAAGAGCAGTAGCCTGACCCATCACCGGTGCCCAAGGGTCCCTGATGCAGAACCAGTGTCTGCATCCACTCTAGCTGCTGGAGAGCTTTTCAGGTTTGGGGGGGGGTGCAGGGCTTGTGAGATTTTTCTCGTCTAAGCCCCTATGTGACTTAGGAGGGTGAGGCACTGCATGGATTCAAATAGCCTTGAGAGATGAGTACAAGCCCTACATCATTCTAGGCTGGATGCTATTGGGAAGGGGTAGCCATGGCTGGGCCCTATTCCCACCCTGCAGCACTGCCGAGGCTCCTTTCTCAGATCCGTTGGCCAGCTGAGGAGTTTCTCAGGTCTCTAGAATTGCCTGATGCCCAGGATTGTTCTTCCCCACTTTCATACAGCCTAGGAGGGGGCTGTCACCCAAGCATATAACCAGGCAGTAACTGTTGTCTAACCCAGAGACTAATGATTAAGCCCAGCTGAGCACTGACTTGCTGTGTTCTCCCAGCTGACTTTACATCTAGGCAATAATGATTGATTGAGGTGCAGAATCTTTCTTCAGGATTAATCACGGCTCTTGGGCAGAGCCAAGAGCATTAAACAGACTGAGTTAGGCATTAAACTGAGCATTAACTGGCCTCTGAGCATCATTAAAAGTTGGCGTGAACTGACACAGGCTGATAATAGAGTCCTGTATGTTCAGAGGAGTGGCATGAACCACTTGGGATGCAGAAGGTGGGAAGAGAGACTACTGCTAACTCTAAGTTAGCAGCTGGACAGTGTCTGATACGCTGATATTATTTCAGGTCCTGAGTCTAAGGAATCACTCCACCCTCCCAGTCCCAGGCAGACAGTCAAGTGTAGCGATGGATGCTGTTTCTTCAGCTGCAGCCAAGGTGTTTACTGGAATGTGTGCCCTTCAAAGCAACAGCTTTGTTCCAGGCCAAACAGCACATCAGCAGCTCCCAGGAAAGGGTAACACTTTATCCCAACATCATTTAGCACATACGCACTGGCCAGCCTAGGCTTTGGCAACCCTAAGGAAACAATTCCCTCTATCGGGATGACTGCACGCTAGGGGCTCCTGGCTAAAGCACAGATAAACTTAGCTGATTACTACACATCACCCCCTAACAAACAAATTATATGCATGTAAAAGAAAATACATGAAGCCCGTACAGTCTGAGGAGGTTTGACCAAGTGCATGCTCCTAGTTCAGCTCACCAGAAGAGAAGCAAGAGCTGCGGGTGTCCGTGAAGGTGCAGCAGAAATAGCAGTTGCAAAGTCAACGGGGGAACTGGTGTTGAGGCTCCAGGGGAATCTTGTTCGATGTTGTTCATCGTCTCCTCGCTTATGCTGAGGCATGTAGAAACCTGCAGTTTCTATGGAACAGCCCATGAGGTGCCTCAACAACACATGACCTTGAAAAGCAGTGCCCGTCCGTGACTGCACGCATCAGAGAGCCTGACGGACCAGCTAAGGAGATCGGGAAATGTTCACGCTCTGTGATGTCTATCCTAGTGTCTCTGTTGGTCTATGCCAGCGGTTCCCAATCTTTTATTGCAGCAACCCTAAACCTGGGTTGTGACCCCTGCCCCCCACCACTGACTCATGCCCGGTGGTGCCAGCAGAGCTTGGGTCAGGATTGTGGGGGGCAGTGGCGGCAAGAGCCGTATGGACTGTGCGCCATGAGAGCCCCACAGACGGGACGGACGGAGCGAGGGGTGGACTCCCCGTGATCCTGATTTGTATCAAGCCCTGGGGTTGGGAACCACTGATCTGTGTGGTCCCTAATTAACTCTCTTGACACCCCAAATAAAGAAAATTATGTCCACTTAAATAATGGGAAACAGACTTCCGTTTGGCCTGGCCAAAGTCAGAAAGCCAGCGAGCAGCATGGTCACAGTTCCTACCCCTGCTCCAGTCGCTTCGATCCTATTTCCTTCCCAGATCAGGCAATAGCAGAGCACAGGCAATAGTCACGCGATGGCATAGGCAATAGCAATAGTCTTTATTCCCAGTTCCTGATGTTCGGACTGCTGGATTTCACTTTCCCGTCAATGCACAGACTAGAACGCAGGAGTCCATGGCTCCTGCCCCAGCACACCGTCCCCTGCAGCATTTAAGAGCCTGTTTTAAAGAAGCACAGGGGGCCTTTTGCTGCTGGATGCCAGGGGGACTTCGATTTGGGATGAGCTAGCATGGACAGAGCGGGCAGCTCCTCGCCGTCATCAGAAATGAGACGTCACTGAGGTTGCTCTGCAACATGCGACCCAGGAGAGACCGGAAGGGGAAGCAAGGCCAGGTGCCACCTCAAAAACTTTTCAGGCTCGCGGGACTCGAGGCACTGCTTGTGGGATCCGAGGCCGCTCTGGGGAAGTGCCAGCTCGCGTTCACTTGGTTTTTGGAGTATGGAAAAATAATAAATAGAGCAGGTTTTCTATTGCAAAAACCCCCAGACTGCAGCAGGGCAGGTGGGGTGGTTAGGAGCCCGGGTTCCCATCTGAAACCTCTGGGTTTCAAATGCAGGCAATCGTGTCTCCACACCAGCAGTGCAGACACCCTGGCTGGGACCCACTGGGCGCAGCGCAGTCCCCACCCTCGGCCGGCAGGGGGCGCTCGGACCTGGCCTCCCTTGCGGGGTGCGCAGGGAAACTATTCCCCCTCCGGCCTGCAGGGGGCGCTGCCGAACCCAAAGCGGAAGAGGCCGCAGGGGGCGCTCTAGTCTCCTTCCTTTATGGTTTTCACCTCGCCCCGCCCTTGCAGTGACGTCAGCCAGTAAACACAGCGTGGGTGTCGCGCGACAGGAAGCGCTTGACGGCAGGGAAGTGTCGCAAACAAGTAGAAGGACGCAGGAGGCGGTGGGTCGCTGGCGAGGCAGCTGCGGACGGAAGGGAAAGGAAGGGCCGGGCCGTGCGCGCGCGCGCGGAAAGGGAAGGGGCCTTTGGGCTCGGTCGCCGGTTCCCGCAGGACTCATGGGGCTGGGCCGCGCGGGCGCTGGGGTGGGAGCGCGCTGCTGCTGGCCCGCGCATGCGCGGGGCACTGGGGGGGGAAATCGTGGTGGTAGGCCCGCGGCTGCTGGGCCCGCGCATGCGCACTACGCCCTGGGCTGTGCGACCCGCTGGTCCAGGCCCGGGTTATCTCCCGTGGCTGCAGGTTCGAGCCCGGCCCGCGACCAGCTTGTGCGCGTAGTCGCAGACAGCGGGGCTCAGGGGTCAAGTCTGGTCCAGCCCCTGCTCTAAGCAGGACCAGCCCCAGCCAGGGCTTTGTGCAGCTGGGGCTTAAACTCCTCTAAGGGGGTTGAGCCCATTGCTCCTTGCCCCGTCATCTGCCCCCACGGAGAACAGCCCTGCTCCATCCTCTTTGCAGCGCCCCGGCAGGGAGATGAAGGCCGCTGTTCAATCCCCACCTTGGTCTCCTCTTCTCCAGGCTAAACAAGCCCAGTTCAGCCTCCTCCCCTCACCAGTCGCGTCCCCCAACCCCCAAGCCATTTTCATTGCCCTCCGCTGGGCTCTCCGAGCGTGCGGGAGCGAGAGCCCGTCAGTGACCATGTAAATTGAGGTAGTCAATGGGTGAGAGACGGGCGGGGCGGGGCG